ATAATTAAATAATATATATATATATATATATATATATATATATTGCTTTCTTTAGAAAATATCTTATACCAAATTTATTAGTAATAAAAAGAATCAGTATTTTTGTTAGAAACAAAGATGTCGTGTAAAGAACCAGCAATCAGATAGTACCTCCAATAATACATTACTGCTTTCTCTCCGTCCACATCCTCAGTTTATCTCTTGTCATAAACTATCCTCATATGATTCACGTTTCTCTATATATAGTTCAGCTTCAGCCACATGCAAAAGAGCCAAAGTCACTATGCAGAATTGTTGGAATTGCATGTGAAATTAATTAAACTTCCTCATGGCAATGCAAAGAGGCCAAGTGGGAATTGATCCATTTTGGATTAACGAATAACGATTCATTTCCATTTACTTGTCATTATTATTCTGTACCTTTTTTCCCAACATATATAGGTCTTGTCGTATTGTTTAACATATATACACGAAAAAACGAAAAAAAACAAAACAAATGAAGGGACATGCATGCATTGCAATAGAGCCTCAGTCCCCACATTCGTGATTTCTTTATCATCAAAATTGACAGCAAATAGCGTTATTTTCATTTTTATAATTTTTTAAATGTTTTGAATGTAATTAAGAAAGATGGAATTAAAAAAGGGAAAAAAGAAAGAAGGAGAACTTGAAAAGTGCATGTAATATAATCTATAACATAATAATACATTAAACACAAAGATTATTGTTAATATTATTAGTGTAAAATATTTATTAATTTTATTAATAATAAATAGTTAATATTTGATTCATCATCTTTAATGATATCTTTTATACCAACAACATTTTTGTCACCATAAACATACATTAAGATATGACTTTTAGAATATTTTGAGTTTAGTATCACTTAGACCATATTAAATACTCTCTTTCATAACATCATCTAATTATGTACTATATTTGTCCAAAAAAAATCTAATTTTAATTTGTTAAGATTAAAAAGTCAGATACTTGACTAGTACAGAATATACATTTTACGTCGGTTATTTTAGAAGTTTTACATCAGAAAAAGCTCCGATGTCGAAGCAGGAGACGTAAAAATTTACGTCGGGGTGCGAAAACCGACGTAAATTTACGTCGGACATTACAAGGTTCGATGTAAAAAGTTGTAAAAAATTTAAATAAATAATATAAAAAAAACGACTGCAAGCAGAACGGGTCGTTTTGGTTGGAGAACAGCCCGTTCTGAATGGAGAACGGCCCGTTCTGCACGGAGAACGGCCCGCTCTCCAACCAGAACGGCCCGTTTTGCAACCTGGACTTGACCACTTCCTTCTCCGTCTTCAAAAACTCAGAATGCAATGCAAAATGAAGAACGGGTTACCTCAGCAGAAGACGCCACCTCATAAAACTAAATAAACAAAACGACGATTTTGCACAAAGAAAGTAGCAAGTAGAAGAAGATGGGTTACCTTAAAGACTCTCACGAGGACAAATGCAACCGCCCCAGAGAACCCCATGTGGATGAACAAGTATTTGGGCGAAAGAACTCATTGCCCCAAGACATGAAAAAATCCATTTTTTTCAGTGAGAAAACATTGTCAAGTGAAGAAAACGAAGAAAAGGGGAAATGGGTACTTTGTTGTACAAAATGACGCCGGAAGAGAGCAAGATGTAGATGAACAAGTAGACATAAGTGAGGAAGAGCCACGATTTGAGGAGGAGGCAGACGAATTTCTCGCTGGCCTCCATTGCACAACGCGCGGGAGATGAGTTTGGGTTTAAATTTTTTATTTCTCGATTGGATTATTTACGTCGGCCCTAGTAGGGTCCGACGTAAATTTTAACATCTACGTCGGACACAATGCATAGCCGACATAGATGTTAAAATTTACGTCGAACCCTAGGAGGTCCGACGTAAATAATTTCACTAAAATTACAAATCATGCTACCGCATTTTTATTACGTCAGATGTTTGTATGTCCGACGTAAAATGGGTGACGTAGTATCCTATTTTTTCACTAGTGCTTTGTTGTTGATAACAATATAGCTTATCCTAAATTTATATTTTTTCAGCAATACTCCCAATATTATCGAAATATGTAATTACTTATTGAATTAAAAAATCATTTATTGAGTATTTCCTGTCAAAAAATAATATAATACAAAAATTATTTTAGATTAATAATAGGAAACATTATAGCTCACATTTTCTATATAAGAGAAGAAAGTTGTTGAAAATACAAATCATTACATGGACTAGTAATTAAATTACCAAAATAATAAGCTTCAGTTCACATTGGACATTTGCTTGATCATAAACTCCTTCACTTGAGAAACAAAGAAAGAAGTCTCAGGCAAATCAGGAAACAAGTAAAAAGCGTGAATGGCGTTTGGATAATCGATTAACTCAGCCATCTTCCCCGATTTCCTTAACCACTCATAATACTTCCTTTGCCAATCGCGCAACGGGTCAAGCCCACCCATAAACACAATCGTATTCGGGTAATCCAGGCCCGAAATATCCACCGCATTGGGCCCACTCACGTTAACCGATTCATGGTCCCGGCCCAACCCATTCGGCAAAAACGCCTTCCAGTGCCAATCGCACCGATCCACCGAAATAATCGGAACCCGGGTCAATTCAATTTCGGATTGGGTCCGCTCCTCTCCTCCGAAAAAGGGTTGAACCGAAACCAACCCGATGACATTCACGGTTCGGAGCCCCTCTTTGGAAACCCGAACCGCCACGTGGTGTGCCAGGTTGGCACCCGCGCTATCCCCCGCCAAAAAACACTTGCTGACGTCAGCGGAACGAGGCAAAACGGCGCCGTTTTGGTCGAGGAATTTCAGGACGTCGACACCGTCGTCGTATTGCGCGGGGTAACGGTGTTCGGGTGCCAGGCGGTAGTTAACGGAGACGACGACGGCGTTAAGGGAGCGACAGAGGAGGCGACAGACGGCGTCGTAGGGGGCGGAGTCCGCGGCGAAGAAGGCGAAGGCGCCGCCGTGGAAGTAGACGATGACGGGGAGGGAGGCGGCGGAGGAGGAGGGGATGAAGAGGCGGAACCAGAGGTTGCGGGCGGCGTGAACGGTGACGTCGGAGGAGGAGAGGGCGTGGACGGAGGTGGGGATAGCGGGGGCCTTGCGGTCGGTGAGGCTGAAGAGGCGGCGGTTGATGGTGGCGTCGGAGCGTCGAGAGGCGTCGGCGAGGGTGGAAAGGAGGGCAATGAGTAAGCGATGTTTCCATGGAAGGGTTGCAGTTTCCATGGTTTGTGAGAAGTGAAGAGAGGATGTGTGGTTTTATGAAGAAGCTCGCTGGTTTTTAACACTCAAAAACAGTCACACGTTATTTGCCACTTGTATCCCAACAAAGTGAAAACAAAGGAGTCAAATCACTTCTTCTATCATGATGTGTTTGGAAAAGTGATTTAATAAATAATGGAGGAGAAAGAAATTAATTATTAAGAAATTTAAAAAATGTGTTTAAAAAATATGATTTAAGTGGATTTTTAAAAAAAGTGTGATGGATCAACGTTAATTTAATTTCATTTTCTTATAAGTAAATTTGTGTACAATTTAAACAAAAATAAAAATACTTAAGATAAAATTACTCTTATTGATGCTATGCGGGTTTTAACTGTTCAAGATCTTATTGTCCTTAGAGCAAGGTGTTGGGACTCTTTCTTGCACACTATTCTCCTAAGGGAGATTATTCTATTAGTAAACCATTGTGTTAAATTTACATTCAAATTATTAATGGATCTCTTTGGTGTTCAGAACTATTATAAGGTGGGAGGTGACTTGGTGTAGATTTGGAATTTGATGTTTCATCAGCAAACTAAGGTTTTTTATGGTAGGTAGGACGAGATTGTCTACATGCAAAATCTCGTTTGAGTAGGAATGAAAAAATGAGTCAATCATGTTTATTTAAATTATTTAACCCATTTTGACTTATCACATTGTTAGTTCATCAAGTTGAGTTGAGTTGACTCACCAAGTAAAAATGAGTTGAACACTTTGACTTGTCTCGTCTAAGAATGGATTGATAGATCAACCTATCAAAAAAAATTAAAATAGAAAAATAAGGAAAAAGTTGCATATTTATTTTTGAATCATTCATACATCTTCCAACATATTTATTTCTTAATATTTAAAAGACTCATATAAATTAGCATAAATTAGTGTATCTAAATAATAAAATAAATCTCAAATTAAGACATTTAATTTGATTTGTTGTACAATAAATCTCAAATTTGGCACATAATATGTAATTATAATAATAATAACTCTTCCAAAAAATTTGCTGTAAAAAAAATCTCAAGTTACAAATAATAAAATAAATCAAATACATAATATATGTATTGTACAACAAATCACAGATTACTCACATAATAAATCTCATATAACTTATTTAAAATTAACATTAAAAATAAAGAAATAATAATAATAATAATAATAATAAATAAATAAATAAAATAAGTTAGATGAGTCAATGGGACAAACCTAACGTGCTAAGATGCCTGGCTGGACCCAACAATTTTTGGGGGCCGGATGTGGGATGGGGCTGGTTCCGTCTATTTTGTGAGAATGTCATTGAGAACTCCTTTCACTATTTTTTTCACTTGTTCGGGAAGTAGTACTATTTGGAGAATGATATTGATAGGGTTGTGGAATTATATAGAGCCACTCTTGATGACTCTCGACTCATTTAAAAAGGTGATGTTTCATCTTTTTGAAATTTTTAATGATGAACAAGACCACCAGTTTGTTATGCACATCTGGAGTTTTTGGAAGCGTATGAATGAAATACTTTGGAAAAATTATGATGAATTGGCAAGTACAGTACAGTTGCATTTATAGCTAAACTATGCTCCAAGATTGGAGAATGGCTCAACAAATGAGAACTGGGAGTAGCCTGGAGCCAATTTGGCAAAAACCACCTTTGAGCTTTGTAAAATGTAATAATAATGTTGCACTCTTTAGAGCTCAGAATTTCACAGGTTTTACCTGTTGTGTAAAAGATTCAAATGGTCTTTTTTATAGCCGCAAGAATAGAACAGTTTTCCATTCTTTTTCAACCTCTAGAGGGTGAAGCTTTTGCCTTGTTACAGACTATGCGTAGGCTGCTACATTAGGGCCATTTGAATCAGATTACAAGAACCTGATAGACTTGTTCCATGGTTATCAAACCAGTCTAGGAGAAGAGGGTGTCATTGCTCAACACATTAGACAACTCTTGAATCAGCAAATTATGGTTTCTTTTAAAATATGTTCCTAGGAGGGCTAATAATACAACTCATGTTTGCTGAGAATACAACTGAGAATTTACATGTTTACTTTTTCCTTTGTATTACTCGTATTATTGAAATAGAAAGGAATTGATTCTCAGCTGTCAAAAAAAAGTTAAAAAAATAAGAGACAAAAATCAATTTTAACCTATTTTAAAAAAATAAAAGAATAAATAAGAAAAGACACAGAAAGGTGAGAAGGCTACCCGATGAAGTATTTTATGAATTTTATCTGCAATTTTTGTGACATGTAAGCTGTTATAAAACCCCGTATAATAATACGAGTAAAGAATTATTTTAATTATGTAAGTGATAAGCATTATTATATTAGCTTTTAAAACTAATAAATATCAAATAAGTGTCTAAACCTACTAATATTTATTGTCATGATTTTATAAATTTTAACTATTGAATGCCAAGTCAACGATTTCAAAAACAAATTTTGGTCTCAATTGTCAACTACACAATGGGAGAACAAATGATCCATTCAATTCTTTGGTTTTGGAAAGTTAGACAAGCAATTAACCTCAAAACAAATGATCAACTATATACAAGGGTTTCTAGTTTCTGGAACCCTGAATGATTTTTTGCACTATCTGACATCTTCTAAGTGAAGCTCTTACTATCCACTGCTTCCTTGAGCTTCCTCCCTAATGCTAATGCCAGAGGAGGAGGCACAGCATTACCAATCTGCCTGTGCTTGTGTATGATATTGCCACAAAATTGATAGCTATCTGGGAAGCCCTGCATTCATGGATAAAGACACGCTTAGCTAATAGATTTATATATTTCCAATTTCCTAGGCTTTCATGTTGTAATTATTAAGACTAGAAATCAAAACTTGAACTCGATCATTGCAAATATACTTACTTGAGACCGAGCACATTCTCTAACAGTAAGAATCCTATCTTGGTCAGGGTGGAAGCACATTCCAACCTTCCCCATTGGTTGAGGGTCTGTAATGGAAGTTGGGAAATTCCCTTGCCAATCCAACCTACCAAACAGTCCCTTCCATTGATTGTGTCGCTTAGCCGTGTTTGGCAAGCACCATGGTATCAAATCAACAATTTGTCCGGTAGACAAATTTACCTGCATTTCATTTTAGTTCATAAATTAGATACACCACAAATTCTTATGCTCAAATTCACAAGAATTTTAGCTTCACCTTCTCATCTGGAAGATCACGCCAATCAGCACCTGGCCTCTTAGGTATTCTCTGGCATCGAATCAAGTTTAATTCGTTCATCTCCTTTGAAATATGATCAGTCAAGAGAGCTATGTCACCACGAATCTTCTTTTGAAACCACGAGACAGGATCATTTTGATACTATGCAACATAAAACACAGGTAAGTAGTGAGTATAGAGCCAACTCAAACTGTTGAAGAGTAGAAGAATGTAAGACATCTATCTTTTCTATTTTACATACCTCCATAACTCCTTTTGAGGCTCCATTGCCAACAGGAGGGAGATCACCAATGGTATCTCTTACAGTTATCGAACGTAATGGAGCACCATTTGCAGTACTCCGGACAGCAGCATACTGGACATTCTCTGACAATTTGATCTTCAATTCGGGAGCCGAAAAGACATGCACTGGTTCTGGCCATTCAGGAAGCACATCCTCAGGAGAGGCTGCCCATATGAATGCCCTTTTTCTTGACTGAGAAACCCCAAATGTTCCAGCCTCAAGGATACCAAACCTCACCTTTTGGACAAGTAAATCAGCATTCATTAGTTCATTGAGGTTCTAATCATCATCTATTAGTGCAATTACTTAGGAAGAAAGATGCAGTAACATAATTTTACCTGATAACCCATCTCAAGAAGCGAAGCCAAAGTTAAACGGAGTGTCTGTCCTTTATTGAAAGACACAAAGTTTCTCACATTTTCCAACAAGAAGTACCTTGGCCGGAAATAATCGGCAAAGGATAAGAATGCTAATATCATCTCACACTGGACTTTACTCCAACTGCTCTGGTTAAACCTATTCATCCCAGAGAAACCCTGAAAGTGAAACAACACATTACTAAATAATTACCCTGAACTATATTCATCAGCAAAATAGATAAAAATAAAAAATAAAATAAAAAAAGCCAACAGCAACACTAACTTGGCATGGAGGACCCCCATTAATGAAATCAACTTGTCCAGGCATGGGTAAACTACTTATTTCTTTCTCATCAAGCTTTGCAGCCAATTCTGCAGCCTCGGATGTTGAGATACAATCATCTGTGTCTCCACATTTTTCCATCACAGCCCTACATTACAAGAATATATTAACCAAATCACGTAAATGGGTTCCATTCTATTATCAACCTTGGGATCTGGAATCTGTTATCTAAATGGGGATATTTACCTAAGAATAACATTGCAATTGTTAATGAACACCAATGCCTCAGGATGATTAGCTTTAAATGCATCACCAGCCGGCTCTTCATACTCTATAGCCCATTTAGTTGATGAAACTCCTGAAGCATTTAAGCAATAAAACATGTTATATTATGCATTGATACCAGATACAGATGAGTTTCTTGCTACAATAATGTAGTTAAGATTACCCGACTGATGCAACCCCTGTGATAAGCCACCGCAACCTGCAAAAATGTCTAGGGTTGCTAAACGTTTTTCAGTTAATGTTTTCCCTTCCTTATCAGACTCTGGGACACCATCTCCCTCTTTACATTTTCCTTTCCTCTTTCTAGCTGCAGCATCAGATGTTTGTCCACTTGAATATTTAACTTTTATATGAGCTGGCAACTGTCAAGCAATTGAAAAAGAAAATAGTTAATTATTGAAAACCATACCATATACTTGGACATAATGTTGATTTTGAGTACAATGTCATTATGATACCACCTATTGAGTTGATTTATACTACAGGTAAAACACCAAAGTTGCTAGAATGTGACACTTTCTTGTTCACCAATAGTGTAAATATTTTTACACTATTGAATCAAATTTAAACTCCTGAAAATTTCACTACTGAATATAAAGATCTGGATAGATTCTATCACACAGCAACACACCACAAAGCAATCATTGTTTCCCAGTACCACAAAGGTTGACAGTAATTAAATGAAAAGGGAACAGATCCACTTGATATAGATTGGTTCAATATCCAAAGGCCACACTCATTTAAAATGGAAAGCAAAAAAAAAAAAAAAAAAAAAAAAAAA